TCATCCCATACAAATGTAGATATTTAGTTTTACTTTTTGAAATACATATTGCAATTGTTGGGAGAAAACTGTGTACTTGCAGTTTTAAGTAAAAATTCAGGAAATATTTCCATGAAACTCCATTTAATTGCGTTTTCTGCAGCAGAATTTGWTAAAAACACTCGTGCTATCAATTGTATTTCGGCAAATTATTGCAAACCCAACAGGTGCACAAATTTGCAATACAACAGCCGAAAATGCTGCAAGGAAATACGCACCAAATACACAATTTAGCAAGCAAGTGCAATCAGACAACCTTCTAGACTTGGTTAAACTTGAACTATCGCAGTTATTCAGAGGAGAACGTAATCATCACTATAATGTCGACAAATCCATTAAATCGCCAACAAACAAACATTTTGAGCCATTTTGAGCAACGTTTTATAAAATTTGGAAAAATACTTTAAACTTTTGTTCTTGAAGGCGAGATTCTGAGGTGTTTCCATTTGAGCCGTAGATTTAAAGCTATTCCATTACATCTGCGCGAATTATTCATCGAAAACGACCAATTTTCACTCAAATATCCCTAGGCCTGATGTTGTGTTCGATTTTCGCCGTACCGATTCCGCCCAATCGATATGGGTGTTCATTATTCAAACATGTACCTTCTTGTTTGTCTATGCCATAATACAAACAAAAACAGTAAGATGTTTTTACTTACATTATCTAGGCATGTGGCAACCTTGGAATATCGATTTTGCACCCACATCTCATCGCCGGGTAGGAAAACATTCATCATCCTGGGGGCTGGAAATAACGCCGTTGCCAAACCGGCTCATCCATCACTGAAATTTATTCCCCGCTTTTATTACCGTTTTAATGGAGCTGGAGAAAAAGCGGGGCTTTCCTCGTGAAGAATGTCTCCAAAAAGGCGAGGTTTGCAAAGAAGGATTTCATGAAATAAAAGCATTGAAATATTTGTCTGTAACTTCCACGTGTGGCCGAACCGAAAGGACCAGAATTGGATCAAGATAAAGTTTTAATGGATCTTAATACGTTTGTACTGAGGGATTTTGGTGAGGGCGGGGTGGGATGATGGAGAAGAAGTGCAGGTTCCATAGGGTGTGTTTTTCTCCATGAAAATTTGGCAACAGCGCGCGAGCCTCGCCTCAGCTCCGGTTTGCAGGACCAAAACAAAATTTTGTTGGATCAGTTTGATCATTACAGTTTCTTAAGTGTCTTGTTTTGGTGGTTTCTTTAAGCAATAAGAAGCGGTATGTCAGATAGAGTGTTTCGCGATATAATAAATAAGATGGACATGCCGATCGAGAGGCAGGTTTCTATTCGCCGAATAAGGCGTTCATCGAATTCAGTATTTCGCGATTTGCTCGACAAAGTCCACCTGTCGGTGCAAGATTTGATGTCATCATTCGGAACGCCCGTTTCTCATGTGTATTTAGAGCAGCAAGAGAAAGTACGCAGTTTTTTTGCAAATAATCGTATTTTGGATTTTCGTTGCAAATCAACTTAAACGTAAACACGCTCTATTTCATTGTTGTCGTGCTTGGCCACAACCGATCCCTGTTACTTTCTTGGCAATTTGCAATGCTTTCGGTATTTTCACACACGAAATACTGAGCGTCGCAACATCCAACTCCCAACCAATATTGTTTTTTAAAATGAATTTTTGCTTTCAGGCAGTTCGGAATATGGACGAACATTCTAGAGGCGCCCTGTAAGAAAATTGATGTTGAAAATAAATGTTTTTTCTTCTCCCTTTCGTACACCTCAAACACGATATTTTTTTCATTCATTTTCATGATTGTTGTACCTTTTTATTTTCATTTTTCCCTACTTTTTTCAACACTTATTTGTCCCACATTTTTGCCTGAGATATATTGATGTTGGATGTAATTGTTTGGAAGGCTTGAATCGCATTTTGCATGATCAGTGTGTTTTTGTATTTCAGGGGTTCAGTTTCAGAGCTTTACTCTCTAGTAGGGCTTTCAAATTCATTTTTTTATGCACAATAATTGAAAAGGAAATATTTAAAATAAAATTTCTAATTAGCCGGCACAAATGATGGTTTTATTCTTTAAATCTTCACATCCGGAAGGTATATAAACTCACAAACATTTGCTTTTCCTAATGCGATTCTGTATGGAAATGCTCATGTTTGTAGCTCCATCGCGTACATGTTCCAATATTTAATAGCCTTTCCTGTTGTATTTTTCCTCGACCTTAGAAATTTGTGTTTCAATAAATTTTAACTTCATTAAATCGATATGGATTGATTAACACCGTAAAAGACAAAATTAGCAACGAATTGCAAGAACTCTATAGCAAGTCTGGATATGTTCCTATATCTTGCATCAAAATTCAATTCAATTGCATCAAAATCAATGTTTTATGCGAATAATTGGGYTTAAAAATAAGGGTTTTKCATTTTAGCAAACWTTTAACTTTAAATTTCTGCAAAAACAGACTTTTATTGGGTTTCAGTTGTATTCAGTGGTAAATCAGCACCATCGCCGGATAAATAACTTATCAGCTTGTTTACCAAATATTTGCCAGACATTCAGAAAATATTTACCAACATGAGTTCAAAATTCCGTGCAAGAACGCATTTTTTATTCCGGTAGGCTTATGATTGAGGCTCTGTGCGTTTTATTTGCTATTCTCTTCATTTATTTCAACATTTTTCAACCGAGTTTTTTTGCTTCAGCCTGAATCTCGTTAGAGACTTGACCTGAGGAAGTAATATTTCTGTCTATCTGCTTATCTTCTTTTAATGTTGAGGAATGTTAATTCGAATGAAAAACAGATCAATTAACTTCTTCACATTCTTCACAAAATACAACAGCATTCCTTTGATGAGCTCATTCTCTTCATTATTAGCGATTATTTCTATTACTTTCACAAGCAAATTAATATTTATTGCCCCTGTTGAGTGTCATTAAACGCTTGATTTGATATATTGGGTCTTAATGGCCAGTAACTGTTGCTTGTATGGAACAAGTATAAACATGTATAATTTGCAATTGGAAAAAATATTGCAGATTTTATTTCACTTGTCTTCAACCATTCAATATATTTGTTAAGTTAATATCTTCCGCTTGTGGTTTTTCTTAATTTCTCTTGCAACTTTCTCTACCCACATAGGAAGTGGTTCATTGACTTCTTTATTAGTGTTTTTTTTTTAGTTTTCCTTACTGGTCAAATGATCTACATCCATACGAAAGTATTTTGCATCTTCAGCTTCTGGTAGAAGACTGGTTTCTTCAACTTTTAACATTAGCGATATTGTAAATATAATGTCGGTCCCAGTCTTTTTTTACCAGTTTCTTTTCTCAGTTTTCGCCTACAACTAGTTTACTGCCATAAACCTGCGTAGTTTGTACAGAAAAATAGCAAACAATCTCCATATACCGACAGGGTGAATGAATAAGCCCCCCATTAAAAAAAAATATTTTTTTTTTAAAATTGCCTCAATTTTTTTGGTATTTTTATTGGATTTAATTTTATTACATTTAGGAACAACGTGCCGTCGTTAAAACAGTTCGGTTTATTTCGGTAGTCTGGTTTTTTAATTAATACCATTAATGCGCGAATATCAATTATCTCGGCAATGGAATCGACTAAAAGCCTGTTAAAAGTGCTTTGCAGTTACACTTTTTCGCCTAAATCAACATTAGCACATTGTCATTTACCATCCAATCACATGACGCGCTTGGCAATCGTTCGAATATAATCAGTGAGAATAGGAAAATATTTATAAAGTTCTGGCTATTAAGTTGGATGACCTTCACTTTGCAAACGACCTTTACGCGTTTCATAGCCATTAGATAATAATGTTTTTTCGTTGTTGTTGATACTGGCTAATGTAAACTTTTATCTGTCGAATGAAATCGATCTCTCTGCTGTGTTGGAAAACCCAAATTGGTTTCTCTTGAAGCCCATTTTTTTTGTTGTTGAAACATCCAGGAAAACGTATTTAAATGCCGAGAAACTGGTTCCTAATGAATGAAATATGAATGATGGTGATAGAGACATCAATATGAAATTAGTCACTTTAAACTGAAGAGAAAACACATTTTACACAAACAGTTGAAAGTATACTAGTGAATAATTGGCCTGATGTTGAGTCTTTCAATAGCCAAAAAAATTATATTTGTTGGGCTTAGATTTTGCTAAGAAATCATGATGCGTTTTGCCCATGGTTGATCCAACACCCGGTATATATGCTGATGATGCGAATCTCCTGTTCAGAATATTAAATATGCAGGTCGCTATCAATGAAAACAGTTGAAACCTTCTGAATAATCTAGCTATAAATCCGTTTAAATTTAATTGGAAATTAAAACTTTTTATCTTCATAATCTTTAATCAGAAATCTAATTTACAGTGTTTACATTCAATTTATACGTCGCTGTTTTAATCAATAATGTTTTTCTTTGTTTTCAATTAACATTGAAAATTACGCAAAAGTAGACTAGAAAAATTGTCAACTTTTCCATTTGTTTGTGTTTTCAGATGTATTCATATTTTAATTTATCGCTTGTTTCGTGTTAATTTCTTACGCCGCTTGGCGAACGCCATATTTTATTTTTATCATTTCTCTCGATTTTTAAAAGTTGATAATGCGACTGAAGAAACAAATTCAGTATGAATTGATAATTGAAAAAAGAAAATTACGCATTTAAAGCGCGTTTGGTCATTTTAGGCATCTTTTCATTGATAAACAATTTTTCGAAATCGTCAACAATTGGTTCTTAATTTAAAGATTCACAAGACAATAAATAATCGCGTAATAAATAAAGCAGGAAATAGAAATAAAAGTTGTAACTGCAATAAAAAACGGTTCTAAAGCGAATACAAAATTAATCTAATCAGCTCAACCAGTTGAAATTAAGTACTTATGTGCATTATTTTCTAGCATTGTATACTTTGCACTTGCATTTTTTTCTCAACACCTTGTGCAATTTTCCATCATTTTTCTTAAACACGTTTTTTCCTTTCAGGTATGTCGTTCAGTTGTACCATTGCAACCACTGTCAAGAGAGACACAAACTGAGTAAACATGGTAGGGATTTAGGGTAAGTTCAGTGTGTTTGGCCAATATTCTCATCCAGCTATCCTAAATCAGACGCTTAGTGTTTGTCGTCGCAAAAATCGGTTATTTGGTGTACGATTTAAGTGTTTCCCTGACTGGATCGGCGGACGCAGTCGGGTGAATGTAGTGATTGCAAAAAATCCTTAAAAAATGTGTGATAGTGCCCTTTTAGTGCCATGGATTTGGATTTATCTCAACCAAATAGGATTAAGTATCAGTGCTTGGAGATTGGATAAGCAGCTGGATAAAGTTTACTTTCGTTCTTCTTCAGTGTGCCCGTTCAATGGTCTTAATTTCGTGCAAATCGGGGTGTTGATGGACGACTCTGATTTAGGATAACATTTGGGAAAAGGTCATAAAAACATGTTAATTTCTAGTAAAATATTCAGTTTAATTGTCGGAAACAATGATGTGAAAATCGTCAAGATTGGCGCATTATTTTGAACTGTTTGTAGAATATTCGATGTTGTTGAAATTTCGTGAATTGCCCAGTTGTTGCCAAACTAAATGATCTGAAAAATAGCACACAGGGGGAAAAGGCAGATAACCAAAGAACTAAAAGCCCCGAAATAACTGCCTTTATTGTCCTCCCAGGCAATCGTCAAAAACAAATACTTATTTTCCCTTTCGGAAAAACAAAATTTCTATAAGGAAGAAATAAAGGGGCGGCACAATGTCTGGCTTCGACTTCTTTATATCTATAGAAAAATAAAGTCAAACAGCTTTTTCCATCATTATTTTTTATTTGTTTATAGAGTCTTCAGAGTAGGTTTCAATAACGCGATTTATCCAAAAGTGGTCTGTTGGTAACAAATATTTTAGTAAACGAGTAACATTGTTGGCAAGTTTTGTTAGGCCAATAATTCTTTCTGGCTCGCAAGCACGAGTGGCTTGCAAAACGGCAGGAAAACTATATTTTCCTTGAGGGTCTAAAGCCTGCAAGCTCACCAGTTTCAAACATTTTAGAATTTTATTTCTTCTTTTGTCTAAAAAATTCTAATTTGAGATGATTTGCGCGTTGGTTAAATCAGCACGTTCATTTTCGATTAATTCTGTGCTCACCTTTTGCATCCCCACAATGCAACTATTAAAAGGTCAGGGCCTTTCTGTTTATATCAATTGAGGCTCATTGAGCGTTTGATGACTCACAGTGGCTTTGTCTCTTGCCAATCATTTTCGGACCACCATGTACTCTAATTACGGAATTTCAATGCAGCCAGACACAAAGTCTGTTTAGTATTGAAATCGTGATTACCGGAAGTCGACGTCCGGAAATAGCAGCAGCCAATCGTGAAACAGAACAAAGAAATTTTTAGTTTTATCTTCGGAACTATGCATGCAAGCAGTACGAACCGTGCAGTGTTTTTAGAAGTTTTGAGGATTTCCTGATGAATCTCCAAATTGTCCTGCATTATGACGCCAGATTTCATTAAATGTTCGCTTTTTGGAGTATTTTCCATGAAGGTCTAACCGAAAATGAAAAATCAAATACCGGAATATAAAAGTCTTTCGAGTTAGAGCTGGGAAATAGGCAGAAACTCTTGAGTATTGATTTTTTCAAAACCTTTTTCTTGGATATTTGGCCCCAAAATGTTCTGTTTTTTTAGGACAGAATTTCTCATCGTCTATTGCAAATTGAATTGAACAAAAGAGTGCTTTTGTTTCTCAATAAAGAACGAATTCTTCAGGACTATAAATTGAAAATGAATCATCAGTATGCCACCAAATTATTGGTTTCAATTTGTAATTATTCATGAAATTTGTTTGAAAAACTTCCACAATAAACAACTGAGGAAAGGTGATGAAAGGGCGACCCCATTTCTAACCTCTTAGTTGATAACAAACATAATCCAAGCCGGTTTACAACATAGAAGAACGATTCATCTGTGAGAAAGCAAAAAAAACTGGCTCATTTTGATCTTGGGCGTAGGCAGCGAATATTTTTCTCCTCAATTCGTGTATTATCAACCAAAAAACAATCAGAATTTTTCAGAAATTTCACTCGTCATTATTTATAGGATTCCCATTTAGGATCTGGATATTTTCGGTTAAGTTATGTTTAGCATGTCTACTCGCACTCTAAAAATATCTTTGTTTATAAATATCCAGAGTTAAAATAAAATTTAACTATCCAGTTGTCGTGCGATTGTACTCCTTCTATTACACAGTGGCGTGTATGGTTGTACAGCATTAGAGCTGACGATTGTTCAAATTAATCCAATTGTAATCCGCATTTCTATTCAGGTATTTCGCATTCGAGAGTGGATCTTGTCTCCATAGATATTCATGGATTGTTTTCAGATCGAAATTTCTCTCTTATGGAGGATGGATTGCCCAAATAAAGGATCTTTTGTCTAGGACTTAGTTCAGGATTTCCATGTTGGGAAATGTGGATTGTGTTTTATTGTTAATCGCTTATTACTGTTAAGCGAGTAATTTGGTCAATTAACAATTCAGATTTGCTGGTTTTATATAAATTTTATTCGATGCTAATTTTTGTAATAAAGTTTTAAAAGTGACGATAAAAAAGCCGCAAATATGCAAAAGTTTTCAGAGCATTTTTAGTGTTTTTCTTACATATTTCCCGAGCTTTTTTTATTTAACTACTTCCCAAAGCAGCAAATTCATCTAAACCAAAGTCTGGTGTTATTTTTGGGCTAACATGATGGAGATTTTCAAAAAATTGTCTAAAATTCTAATAAACCTCCTGATAGAATGCCAATTAATTTGTTTTAAGTGCTCAAATTAGGCTGGAACTGTTGCAAAAGGCGGCACAAAAGTTACTTAACAATTTGCCTCGTAATTTTATTCACTGAATATATTTGTAGTTACATCTCGCAATCCATTGTTGCGTTGCATATAAATCGCACAGGTCACTGCAGTGATGCACAATGCACAACACTTTCCAAGACCTAATTTGTGGTGTTGCACATTGATTTTCTTGCACAAAATGCAGGAAATTTACCTTTTCGTATCTTGCTGGCAGTATTTAAGTACTCTTTGGCCTGTTCTAGTTAGGTGGCGATTGCTGTGGCTTTGCGGCTGAAAAATTTGCGTACAAATTTATAAATGCTGCAAGCGTAAATGTTCAAGATTTTTAATTAATTTAATCAATGTGATGAAGTGGATTATCAAGATCAGCCACAATTAAAAATGTCTAATAAAGTTTCGCTGAATTTTCCGATACATTTTTTGAGCTCAGAGTTAAAAATTTGTGATTTATACCGGAATTTAAAAAAATCGGCACAATATTCAAGGAATTTGCTTGGTTAAAAGCAGTCGTTTTAATAACCCAAAAAAGGAATTCAGCACAATCTACAGAATTGTAAAGAATGGTTGAAGGAATGAAAACTCACTTGGAAATAAATTGCTATTAATTTTAAATAAAACTTTGTAATAGAGGGAATTTTGAAATTCCGGCTCATTTTTTTCTCTGAGTTTACCAAGCATTAAAGCCATCTAACAGAGCGCAAATCAAGTAGTTCAGTATCAAATAAACTTCTCTTTTCAGTGTTTTTTAACATTTACTTATCCTAATGTCGTCACATTGAACCAAGCAATCGAAGCACTTGATGCTACTTAGTTCAACAAAATACCGGTTAATTTGCGAATTAACAATTTTCTTCAACAATGCGGACGAGATTATCAATTACATCGATTCTTGAGAACGCAATTCAGTACCCATCGAGCACCTGTTGGTGCCCAATCACGGCACTTACAATTTCTTCTTGATGAATAATCCTGGATCTTTTCAATCAACTTTCAGCTCGTTGTTGGTTTCTCTATTCTTACTAGTTAGTTTGCGTTTGCTTCCGGCATTATTTCTGCATTGATAAATTACAGTGTACACATTTTTGCTGATTGGTTTCTGTATGTGAAGAGCGGCCATTATCGGGCTGATTAAACTCGCGTTTTTATGTTATTTTCTATAGAATTTTTTGAGCTTATGCCCTGAACTCTCGAGTGCATTTTGGTTGGCTGAAAAACTGATTGAAGGTTTTTGGCCTGCTGAAAGACACTACATTTTTTCCTTTGTTTTAAACAATTTTCAAAACGTTTCTATTTATTTAAAAGTGAGTGGACCAGAAGCACAATGCAGTGCTTAAGTAATGCTCTAACAGTAATTAACGAATTTCGCAGAACCGCAATATTATTAAACAAAATAATGAATTTCCAAGAACATGAGCCAAGTTGTCATCTTCCAAGGTAGGTACTTGGTACCGTTTTCGGTTTGTCTGTAAAAACCCTGAGGCAATTATTCCACATCTAGTGAACTGCGACTAAATTTAATTTTATTCCGCCTTTCTACGCCCATAAAAACATCGACTACACGAAAAAAAAATTGTGTTGAATCACCGGTGCGTGCAGCACGGCAACTCCAACTACGCAGCTCACCACACGAAAACAAAACAATTAGTTTTGGTGCTGAATGTTGCCAAATTAACTAAATATGGAAACAGTTGAAACGAATTTCTTCCGAACGTTTCGCAAACACCATGTGTGAGTGCCATCCTCAGAGATGTGTGTTTGAAACTGGTGAGCTTTTCGGGGCCTTGGTGCAAAAGTAGCTTGCTTCTGATGAACAGCAAGTTTTGTGAAGTTATTGTGCAGAAAAGTGTTTTTTTTTTGTTTTTAATATTAATCAGAAATAACGCAGGCGACAAACATTCAAAAATGAATAGGAAATTCTTGTTTTTGCGCCGTGTTTTAAAGACACAATACACATTTCTACACAAACACCCAGAAGATATCAAAAGTACCTATACCGCTGAAAAAATAGAGCGTTAAAATATATATAAAAAAATAATAAAATTTTTGTGCTTAAGAGTTCAACAGAAAGTCTGTTTGGATTTCTTTCACTGCTAAGGGAAATTCGCAAATTTTTTGGCAATTGATCACAGAAAATCCGGTTGGATGGCGATTTTCCATTTTATTGGATAGGAAATCTTCATCGCGTTTTTCGACGTTTTTTACGTTTTCCCA